TCTCCTATAGCAGAAAACCGTAAGACTCCAAAACTTTGTTAACCACAAGGTATTTTTAGGTCCTAGATCTTACCTGTGTATGGACAAAAACCTGAAATATTAATGAAAAGGTGGAGATAGGGTGTAGTACTTACTTTTGACAGGTGAAGGAACCTCTTTATTGCTTTCCTCTAGACAGATTCAATAACAAAATTGAGGTATGTTTTTAAACTCTGAGACATCGGTGTGCATGTACATGAGTGTGTGTGTGTGTGTGTGTGTGTGTGTGTGTGTGTGTGTGTGACGTCTTAGCACACTGATGTTCCATGGGATGCTATTTCAGTCTGGAAGATAGCTAAGCATGTTACGGTTGATTCAGCAGGCCCCACCAGTAGAGAATGAAATGACATCCGTAATAGCCATAGAAGCAATGACCAGCAAAGAGAAACATGGAGCGGAATAAGGCGAAAGAGCAAAGTATCAATTATCTGTTGCTTATGTGACAAATCACCCCAAAATACAGTGGCTTAAAACAACAACAATTTTTTCATGATTATGTAGATCAGTAATTCAGGCTGGGCTCCCCTGGGTGATTCTTCCTCTTGTTTGAGGTCATTCGGCTGCCTGGTTGGCTGGTGGTTTCAGGGATCTTAGCTGGGATTGCTTATCTTTTCTCCCTTTTGCACGTGGTGGTGGAAGTCTTTAGTGGCCAGAGAGGGCATGCCTAAGTGCACAAACACTTTTCAAGCTGCTTCTTGTACACTTTTAGTAATGTTCCCGTAGACAAGCCCAGAGTCAGTGGAGACAGGAACTGTACTAAGGCATTGGTACAGGGAAGCATGATTCCTAGGGGACTACTCTTAGTGGAAGAATTCTCCAGAGCTTGCTTTTTTGAGAACTTTTGTATCATATCCTAAGACTACCAAATGTAAAATGTGCAGATAAGCTAGAAGTGTTTCTTTAAAAATTAGGTTCAAGAGCTGGTGAAATCTTTATTTTTATTAATATAACCCTATTTACACAGACAAGTAAAGCCTGGTAAAGCTCACATTAGTTGATCCTGGAAGTCCCTTAATCTCTGAGACTTAGTTTCCCATTTGTAAGATGCTCTTTACTGAACTCCTTCATCATTATTTTAAGGATCACACGAGCTCGCGCTTTTTGTGAACAGTGTAGCGCTCCACACAGCCTGGGTGTGCCATGATTCTGGGAAACTTTAAACCTGGTGACCAGAAAAATATGCGATATGCAATGAGAAAATAAAAGCACCAACTGACTAGACTGTTTCAATAGCACGTATTTTTAAAAATTCATAAGAGAGTCTTTTGACTCTACATACATTAAATTTGCCTTTGTCTCTGTCCTTCTCTTTGCCCAAGATTAACAAGGAAAAAACAGATTTGATTTGTTTTGAACATCTGCTTTACCTTTTGTCCTAATTTTAAATCACTCCTCTATTTCAAATGCACCTTGTTCTCTCTACCTCTAATATATCAATCCAGTTTACAAGCCTTCTCTTCCAGAATGTGTTTGATTGATTACACTGCAATTCGATCCCTGCTTGCCCATCCATCAGGAGTTACTGAACTCTTTTGATGTCTGGGTTAGTGCTGGGACTAGATGCCAAAACAAACTAAACCAAACAAATAAACAAAGAAAAACATGAATAAAGCATCATTTTTTGTCCTCCAGGACCTCATGGACTAGCAATGAGATATGCATACACAGGAAACAGTATTATCATTGTGTGCTGAGAAACAAAACTACACATTTATTCAACAAACATCTAATGATTGCTTACTTGGTGCATGCAATAAGCTGGTATACAATACAAAGATGGATGTCTTTTCTATTTTTAAGGCTGATCTAGTGAAGGAAACAGACAAGGCAGAAGTCACAGTTCAGCACCAGGTTTACATGGAGCCCAGAGCATGGCCTCCGCCAGATGGAAGTGGTTGGGAATTTTTTCCATAGATTACATATAAGACAAGAAAAGGGTAGGGGTAAATTTCAGGCAGAGAGTGCTTCACAGTGTGGGAAAGCATGACTTTTTTTAGAGATATCCAAATCAGTGCAGTATGACTGTTCTACAGAGTGAGAAAGGAGGACAAGAGAGAAAAATCTAGAGACAAGCAGAGGTCAGACTGCAGGAGAGAAGTAGCCTCCTCAGATTTGCACTGTAGGAGAATCACTCTAGCAAAACAGGGTGAAATGTTATGTACAGGCATAGTCAAGTTACAGGACAACAAAGCTAATAAGTAATTTTAATAACTTAAATATAATTTAATTCAACCAAGAAATGATGAGAGATTGAATTTCAGCACAGTATTGGAGGGACAAGCAATGGGTTTAGAGGCATAAGGTAGCAGTACGGGATGAATTACATCTCAGAAACTCATGTATTGAAGTACTAATCACATGTACCTCAGAATGTAAGCTGTAAGGCCTTAGAAGAAGCAGTGAAGTTAAAAAGAAGTCACCAGGGTGGCCCTAGACTGGTGTTCCTATAAAGAAAAGAGTTTATAGCACAGACATGCACAATAGGTAGACCCTGCAAAAACACAGGGAGAAAACAGCCATCTACAAACCAAGGAGAGAGGCCTCAGGAGATACCAAGCTTGCTAATACCTTGATCACTGACTTGTAGCTCCAGAATAGTGAGAGTAAAATTCTGTTTAGATGTCACCAACCTGTGGTATTTTGTCGTGGCCCTACAAACTAATCGAGGAGGAAGAATCAGGAGAACTGGTGAAATCAGGGATGAAGTGGATAAAAGAGGAGGAAATATAGGGCAACTCTGAGGTTTCTGTCTCATGCAACCTACTTCTGGGGCTCAAATAATCATACCCCCAAAGTACAGTGTGTGGGGGTATGCTAAGCCTTTGACTTAAAAAAGAGCTTACACTACTTCTGCCTACCCAAGCATAAAAATCCTGGAATTCTCTTCTCTGCATTAAGAGCCGACTGCAAAGGGAGCATAGACTTCCCTCTCCCTAAAATCCCATTATCTTTCTCAGAAAAGAAGAGTATGGAATGTGACTGCATCAGGACAGATTTCCCCTGCAGGAAAATGTCTTTCCTTTGGTCACATTTAAATTCCAAAGAGAATGTCTTGGGGATGAAGCAGTTCCCTAATAAGAAATTACAAGCCCTCAGAGCGTATTCCCCCATGTGCTATTGCTGTAGTTTTCTCCTTTTGCATGTTAATAAATGTGTGTCTTTTCTCTTGTTTAATCTTTGTCAGTTTATTCCCATGACCCTTTAAAAGACAGAGAGGAAATTTCCCTGTGCCCCTGCAATAGTATGTGATGCTGCTGTGCTCCAAGAGGTAAGACCACCGGCTGGCAGTGATGCTTTCTAGTTTTGTGGTCTTTGAAGAACATCCAACTGATGGTGACCACTACACTGTCTACAAGGAGCTGGAGCCCAGTCAAGAGGCATGAGCTGAGGTTACAGGTTTGGGGATCTCCAGGTACAGGAGCAGGTGAAGCAGAGCAGTGGTTGAGGTCACCTGACGGACATATGTGCTGTGAGAACAGGGTGCAGAAGACAGAGCTGGGAAGAAGTCCTTCCCTGTGGAAGAGAAGAAAAGCCACCTGGGCACAGGACAGAGTGGAAAACATTAGCGGAAGTCCTCAGAGATGAGAGTCAAGAGAGTCAAAGGCTGTTCAAGTTTTAATGTCAGAACCACGGTGATGTCTGATTTTTCAGAGACAGAATACTTTCCAGCTTTATGTTCCTGTCAAATAGTGCCTGCCCTTGTGGCTGGTGGGCTCTTTATCCCTCCCTGATAGATGCTACTCCTTGGCTATTTTCTCTCTCACCTAGAGGACTTTCTGAAGGGTCATCAGGTTTTCTTCCAGGGCCCTCCTTGTATCTTCCTTAGTAAAGCCAGATGGCTGGAGGTAGTGTTTAAGGCGAGGCTGTTCTTTTTAGGGCTCTTTAGTGGGTAAGCAAACCCTGTGCCCTTGGTCAGAATGTATAGGAACTATGAAGTCATTGTTCGGCTTCCCCAAGCCTGAGAAGAATCTAGTCTTTACAGATACTGAATAGTTAAAAGGCATCTTTCTTCACTTACTTTGGAGAAAGGGAAAGGCACATGGATCCTTTCTCTAACCAACCAATCCAACAAGAGAGGCCTAGAAGAAACATAAGGGATTTCCCCCAAAACACTCAGGATTTGGCCCTGGCTTTGCCCGACTTTATCTTGCCTCTGTGAAATTGTCCTCTTCTTTGCTATCGTCTTACCACTCAGTGCTCCTTCCTTCTGAAAGGTGCGGAGCACTTTCACCATAAACACTCAGCCAGCAGTCGTGAACATTTCCTATCCAAGCACGGGGGGAACAACACAGAGATAGCCAACTTTGCACCTTAAGAAGCATCTGCTTAGTCGCACATCTGAATGCTGGATGCAGTTTGAAGATCATGTCTGCTAACTCAATCACCTTCCACAGCAGTAGTCCTAAATAATGTACACTTGAAGTATTTTTGTTCTCTCAATATAAAATTTTGAGATTGGAAAAGCCGGCCCCCTCACCCTCTTGTTGAAGTGAAACTAGAAGAGATTTCCCCACCCAGCCGTGCAGACTCTTAGGTGACAAATTCAGTGCTCTGGTCACTTTCCCTCACGGCCTCCCTGAGTTCTTCAGCATGAATCACCTCCATGAGAGACCCCACTAGGGGTGACTCAGCCTCTGCCTGAGTGTCAGCTACCAGAAGGGAGGGAGATTTCCCAACAATGAACTGTCCAGTTCTTCCTTGTTTTGAGAGAAAATCTTGTCCAGAGCTCCCTTTGGCAGTTAGGAAAAGACCTATGCTGAATACAAGCCCTACAGCAAGGGCCTGGGAAGCTTCTCCTATTCACACTCTCACCAGGTCAGGGCTTAGGAAGGCGGCTCTGGCCCTGGGCTTCACTGGCTGACTGGATGCCGGCAGCCACAGGCAATTCTGCACCGCAGTCTGTTTCCGCATACCTGAGCCAGCTTTCCCAGCCTGCACTGTTTAAGGTGAGCACACTGGAGCTTACTGTGAGTCACAGCACTCAAAAGGCCAGGACTCAGGAGGGCGGCAGCAGCGCCACTCAGCCCAGCTCCTGGATCCGGCTGTGGCAAGGAATCCTTCCCCTCGCCATGGCTTCCCTGGGGCAGATCATCTTCTGGAGGTAGAGTACCCTTCTTCCTATCCTTAAGATTAAGAATAGGGATGAAGTCTCTTATGAACCTGAAGAACTGCTGGGCTGTTTCATGTGGCCCCACTTGTACTCTTATGATCCAGCATTAGACCAGTGAGAGCCTCACCAGACAATAACCTACCTGAACTCAACATCACACCCCGGCCACTTAAAGCACCCAGTCAGGGATGGGAGGTTTTTGGTGGTGGCCTGCCATGGAAGCCTGGTGCCTGCTGGGGTAGCACTGAACTGAGGAGAGCACAGGGTACCAGGCTAGGAGCTAAACAGAAATGTAAGTTTCTGAGTGCTGTAGGGACACTGAGTGGCGTGGCCCAGGAAACAAAGGGAATGAGTGGAGACTGGTGGGGTGCAGGAGCATCTCTACGAGCTCTCAGGATGAAGGAGGAGGATATTCTTTGACTCTTCTTTGTGGGTATAATTTCTCTGTATTCCTGAACAGTTCACTCCAACAGCCCCACCTCATTGCGAGCTGGGTCTCTAGTTTTCCTGGGAGCTCTTTGGACAGAGACCCTGGCAGCTGCTATTGCTGCTGCTGCTACCTAACTTCCCAGAAATGAAAGAAGCAAGTCCCTCCCCTCCCTTTTGCTCCTCTCAGTTATACTCTAGTTGCCTTTACCCCTCAGGATGTCATTTACTTTCTGGAAAGGAAGAGCTGGAAGACAAAGTATTTTTCATAGAATGGTTGCTGATTCAATGTCAGGCACAACTCATTACAGTGTTAGGAAGACATATTTACTGGTTCTAAGTATTCTTTGAAGGACCAACCTTCAAACAATTTCTAGTGTCTATTTCAATGTGAAGAAAGAAAGAAAAAAACAGAAGGAAGAAAAAAGGGAAGAAAGGACAGGAATCCAGATTAATAGTGAAAAGTTCGTAAAGAGACTGACAAAACAATGGGAAATTCTTTTCCTTGAAACAGAATGTCAGCTCCTCACTTGTGTTCAGCTGAAACCACCAGTCCTGCATTGACAGGGTCTTGGTGGGCTCAGCAGGGCTACCTGGGCAGCTCTCCTAGCCCTGTGCCTGACAAGGACACTGTGCTCCATCAACTTCTTGGAAGAGCAGTAGGCAGTGGTGGGCTTTCATCCATTCCTATACCCTAAAAGAATCCTCCTAAGAAGCACCTGCATCTAAAGTGTTAACATTTTGCAAGCTTGTACTTCGTGCTTTACAGTAGCGTGTCCTTTAAGTCTCACTCCCAAGCCCTCGTGAAGGTTCTTTATCACCTCAAGGTAAGAATGTCATTTGCTCAAGCCTCAACCCATGTGTGAGGGGCGTTAAGCCCAGTCTACTTGACACTAAAGGCCCAAGCGCTCTGCCCTGTGCCATCCTTGCCTCTGCTCCCACTGCCCCAGTTCCCCTTCCCCCTATATTCCAGCTTGCTCCCATGGATGGGAAACACGCAACAAGTGACTGTTGTTCCAAGGACGGGCGTGTGGGCTTTCTAATAATACATTACAACCAGCCTGACTGGTTTTGCTGGAGGATTAGCAAGAGGTGGGTGTTCAAAATGTGAAACCCCCACCCTTCAGAGACCCACTGGAGTCAACAGAGGCTCCCCTTGTTGGCCCCTGTTGCCTGGTTAGCTATTCATGCTCTAGTTGCAAAAGCAGGAACAAGCTGCAAGGGTGGCAGATCCTTTGTGCAAAGACGTCACCAGGAAGAGGGAAAATGGCCAGCTTCAGTGGTAAGCAGGGTTTTCCTGGTTGTCTTAGGGATTCAGATGGAGCCCACTTGTGGGGATTCAGTGTTCTCTCTTGGTCTTAACACACTTACTCCCTTTGCCATAATTTTATTAATTCACTATAGTACGTCTTTTGGGAATGCTCAAGGCTATGGTGATGGTCATAGTGTAAGAGTCTGCCATCTTTTGCAGAAACAGTGCATTATTCCTTTAACAATTACCAAAGAGCTTAATACCTTCACACACTACAGAATGCTGCTGAGGATTTGCAATTTCTACCATACCAACCCTCCTCGGCATATTTAGGAGCTGTGTAATCAAGGACTTCCACCCTTGTTCCCATCACAGCTATCAGTAGCAGCAGCATTCATTCAAGGAACATTTGTTGAACGCTGCTTGGAGTCCAGTGGTAGAAAAGTTACACTCCCTGCTCTGAAGGGGTTAAATTCCAATCAACAATATTAATAAAGTATCTATTTTGTGTTGAGGGCTGCAGTAGGCACTGAGGCAAATGTGACTAAAATGATAATGCAACGGCCTAATGGGAGATAGATTCCTAAACAGAGATTTCTAATATACATTCAAAAGTAAGATAATATTATATTGCATTGTGTTATCTTCAGTGTAGTTGCTCAGATCACCAGATACAGGCATGTAAGAGTGATCAAACAATATAAACACTAACTGGTCCTTTCAGTGAACTAATAGACATTAGTAGCACAATTATCTTAGCTATCTTGTATATGATTTCCTATCATCTTGTTTTGAAATTCTGTATCATTTTTATTGGTTTTTTTTTATTATCTTTAAAATAAAAAAGTAAGATAATAGGCACAAGGTGCACTAGAAACACTTCCTTACCTGAGACTTGAGGCATGTTTCCTGAGCCGGCTGCCGGCCGGACCGTCTTGGAAATGAGTTAGTGTTACCGGAGCGAGGACACTTGAGGAGGAGTCGCTAAGGAGAGGGAGCAGAATAAAATAAAACTCATGAACTAGCGCACTGTGCTGAGAAGCTGCAAGTTACTTTATCCTATCAGCACATGAAGTTTGACACAGAAAGTTCTAAGAGATGAGGCTGAGATCACACCAGATAATGTGGGACCTTATTTGTTGTTTATGAAGAGGAGCCCTTGAAAGCCCTTGAAAGCTCTTACTCAAGGGAACCTTGGTGGGTTTTATCCTCGGGGAGCAGAAAGCCAAGGCAAGGAAAAACAGCTAGAAATGGCTTCAAACAGAAGTATAAAGAATGATAAGGACCAGAAGTAGAGATCCACAGAAGGGAAATAGATACAAGAAACAGTCAGAATTTTAAATTGGTAATAGGTGATAAATGATTGGAGGGGAGGAGGGGTGGTGCAGAATTGGAGTGGATGAGGTAAAGGGTTGATAAAGCCCAGGCTACTTCTGTGTTTCTGGATTGGACAGAGTGAGTAGAGGGAGAGGAAAGAGAAGAGTCAGCAAGCTGCTGTATTTCATCTAAAATCACTAGTGACAATGGGACTGACGAGTCCTGTCAAGAGAACGAAGCAAGTGTCCTTTTGCCCAAGGGTGGACAAACTAGAGAATAAGAAAGACTTGAGTGAAGGAGTCTCAGGAGCTTTCCTCTGCAATCTTTGACTCCCATTCCCCACAAGTTGTCAAGCCTGTGCCTGGCGTAGACATCCCAGACGTTGATGGTAAGAAAAGTTATCAGGGTCTGGCCTGGAGAGATCTCGGCACAGGTCGTGTTGACACTTCAACTTCACTTGGATAAAAGTTGGGCCTAACCTGCAGTCTCTCTGAGCCTAGAGACTCTGAGACTCCAGGGCATTTAGAGCTCATCCAATGAACATGGCTGGAATTCAGAAAGTAGAATGAATTATGCATTGAATGGAATATTTAAATTGATAGCATCTTTGTTCCTGGACTCCCAAGAGAATATTATCTTCTGAGTATGATACCCTTCCTCATCTTTACCTGCTGCAGCATTCAGAGCACATGGCACTTCCTCGTTGAAGTTTTCCTATATGCCATTAATTGTCTCCTTTATGTTCACAATTGGACACATTCATGAATGTCTATTAGCAGTGCCTGTCTGTTTCTCTCACTAGGGTTAGGCCCCTGAGGTTCTGGACTTGGTCTTGCTCATTGCTGTCAGAAACAAAGATAGTGCTGCTGCTATGCATCTGCACTCTGGGATTAAACTGCCTGGGTTCATATTCTTACATCATCATGAATGCTTTATGAGCTTCAATTTCCTTATCTATAAAATGTAGCTGATAACAGTACCTAACCACTAGGGTTTATGAATGACATGTGGTCATTATGAGCCTGCCAGCGTTAGCTCTTGCTCTTGTCATTATTTGCAGGTCCTTCTATGATGACTTCTACATGGCTGGCTCTCCACAAAAATTTAACTTCAATTCCAGGACCCCACTGCCTCTTCTGTTCCTGACATGAATGTTCTAGAGAGGGCACATAGTAGAGTAATTGCCACTGGGTCTCTTAAAGAAAGTTAACTCTAACAAATCAAGCTCAGGAGAGTTCTCCAGACTCTTGTTTTGAAAAGAATTAAGTCCATCCCACCTTTTTTCTATGAATCTGAGACTTAATCACGCTCCAGGCTTGAGGATGGCATAGTTGAAATAGTTCACTGAATGTCTTTCTTCACCACTAAAGGGTGGTACTAAAGAGTATTGAGGTGGTGAGGTGAACCTGGAAGTTCCTCCTGTGCAGAGCTGAGTAGCTAGGCCTTCTGGTCAGGCACTGCAGACATCAAAATCAAAAACCCTCAGGGTGCAGTTGAGCTATGTAGCTATGACAAAACACTCAGTAGTAGCTAATGAGCTAAGCTGTCTCACATTCCTAATTATCTCCATTTCATAAGTGCAAATATTGAGGCTAAATAATTTGCTCAGTGTCTCTCAGCCAGTCAGTGGCAGGAACCAAGAAGTTCCTACCTGGTCTTCCATATTTTTATTTTTTTTTAAGAATCTTTCTAATAAGCTCTGCTTCATCTCTTGCTATTTAAAGCAGAACACAACTCATCATCAGCAAAAACTCTCTTCTTCAGAGACGAATAACTGCCACAGTCAAAGAATTCTTATCTGGGGAGCCTGTAAATTGCTGGCCTGTGTTGTATCAGGGAGCTGCTCTATAGGAGTGAGTGCATCAGTAAGGAATGACTAAACTCAGTAATAACTGTATACTTTCAGAGGTCAAAAATTCAGAAAGTCAGTACCTTCTTTCATTTTATCAATGAGATAATCAAGCAAAATGATGTAGCTTGCCCAAGAGTAATATGCTAAAGAATGGTACAACAGGGCTTTTTAAATAATCCTACATTGCTCAGCGACCTTAGCCAAAAGCTGTGTTGGACCCCAGAAGAGCATGTGTTACCCAAACATCAGGGATCCTCAAATCTGAGAGACTAAAGCTTTATCTATGCTTATGTTAATATGAAAAAATAGAAATAATGTAGGTATTAGAACTCGTCCGATCAGTGTATGTAGTTCATCTTTCCACCTCCTGGCTTTGTGACCTCAGTGAGTTACACAACAGCTCTGTCTATTTCTTACTCAGTAAAATGGGCATTAATGACAGTACCTAGCTATTAGGGTTGTTATGAAGACTAACTGAATTAGTCCATGTGAAAACCGCAGTGCAGCTTTGTGCACATGTTTAGCACTTTGTGTTACCCTTATTGAATTATTTCCTCCTGATATTTTTAGGGAATAACAAAGTGAGTTGGAGGGAGGAAGGAAGGGAGAGAGGGGAATAACAAGCCGAACAAGAACCTTCACGTCCTAAATGTTTTGGGATTTAGTGAATCTGAGATATTTTTTTTTAGTCTGTGTTCTATGAGATACAGGGAAATCTCTGCCCCCTGGGGTGGTGAACTAGATGAACTCCACCTGCCCAAATGCTCATCTCAAAGTGTGGTCTCCTGTCCAGCAGCATCAGTACCATCCTGGAGCTGTTAGAAGCACAAATTCTCGGCCCCCCTCCTGACTTACTAAATTGAAAACTCTAGGGGTAGATCTAGCAATACATGGTGGAACAGACCTTCCAGGTGGCTGTAATGCTACTCAGATTCAAGAAACACTGCACTAGCAGTCTCTCTGGGTCCCTGGGTGCCCCAGAGGAAGTACAGAGATTGAATTCAGATGCATATAAATTTCATCTGGGAGTATTTACCACTCCATTTCCTATAAGAAATGTTTTAAAGAGAAGTGGATAGGTCTTGATGAAGACAGAGGAAAAAACATGACATTTCTACAGACGAGAAACCCGCATTATATTTCTTTTTATATTAGCTTCTATTATCCCAAACCATCTGTCTGGAATACTTCAGATTTACTATTTCATCACTTCTAAATGTATTCCTACTACTCCCGGCACAGCAGTAATGGGAAAAATGGCAGACAGTTTTCCCCTATCTTTTTCTGCAGATTTTTGAATGAAAAATTTCATGGAATAAAAACCATGAAAGATTTGAGAGACAGAGAGAGCATCCATAATATTTAGGTGTATGGAATTCTCTTACCTATCTGTCTACCCTCCTCATTGTGTTTTCTTTCCACCGTCCACTCCCAGAGTGGCCATTTCACACCTCTCTTCTCCTTTCAATCTTACAATCACCCACCCCTTCTCCCCTTCCCCATCTCAGTAATTACCTTACTTCATCTTTCACAGAGAAAATAAAACCCAGTAACCAGGTCCTCCTTTACCTTTTTATTTCCCACCTGCCCAAGGGCTCCTTGGTGACCTCTTTCTCTGCCTCTCTTCTGGATCCAGAGGATTTGCCCAATTCCTATCAAAGGTCAACCCCTGTGTGCCTTGGATTAAAATCAACTCCCAGCTCACAAACACCTCCTGCAGCTGGCGTCATCTCTCTTCCTCTACTATCACAGGCAGCGTGCTACCCATGTATCAGTATTTTCTATCTTAAAAAGAAAAAAATCTCCATTTCATAATCCCTCCAGCTACCCACCCTATCTCCCTTTGTCCCTTCTCAGCAAACTTGCTCCAAGAGTTTTGTGCAGTGATTGAGCGTGTTGATTTCCTAGCATTGCAGGGGTGTCGATGTGACAATTTCATGCACAGAGTGGAGCCACTGACTGAGTCTATCTGATCCAAGCTCTCCTACTTTCTAGCTGTGTGGCCTTGGGCAAGCTATTCATCCTCTCTGTGTCTGGGCTCTTCATTCATAAAATGGAGACAACATTAGAATCTATATCGAAAGATTGTTGTGAAAATTATGTAAATTAAGACACAGAAAGCATTTAGCAGATACCTCTTGTAAACTACTTATTCTATGATTATCTCATCTCAACTAACTCTTGCATTTTGGATTTCGTCCCCCACTAAACTAAGATATTGCACCTGCTTGTGTCGTTAATCACTTCCACTTCCATTGCCACATCCAGTGTTTACTTCTCTATTCTTACCTTACTTAGCTATACTACATTCAACACAGATGTTCCTACTACCTCTTTCTTGAAACCATTTCTTCTCTTGGCTTCCATGACACTATTCTGCCCCTTTGCCCTGTGACAGCTGTGGCAGCTTTTAGAGTTGGCCTCCGCTTTTCTACACTTGGTTTGGTGGTAACAGCTTTCCTCCTGTGCCCCATGCAACTCCAAACCACCATGTTCTGTAGCCAGAGAACCTGCCTCTGGCACAAAGACATATCCTTCCATTTTTTTCCAGTGCATGACAATGGACCCTTTCCTTTGCCAAAAGGTCTCAGAGTCCATGAGCAGAATGCAACAGAAAAGGGACAGTTATTCTTTAAAGTGACCGGCATAAGCTTCGTGAAGCCCTATAAGGTACGGGAGAGTCAGTGGTGTAAGTAGCAAGCACTGTATGGGAGGGAGGTATTTCTAGACTCCAGAGGAGCCTCCAGACATGTGTCCTTAAAACTTGAGAGAAAGGT